TCCAGCTTCATCTCTAATATGGGTTTAATCTCGTTCCTGGGAGTTGTCGCAAAGCTCTTCTTTGGTTCAGAAGACAAGCCTCAGCAACTACCGCCCCAGGAACGGCCCCCGCAACGACCACACAGGCCGTACAGGCCACAGGAAGGGCGGCCGCCACAACCACATGCCCCCAGCACGAGCCCACCAAAACAACACCAGCAGCAACACAAGCCACATAGCCCTCGCCCGACAAAACAACAACACCACGTTCGTCCTTCCCGATTATCGATTGACTGTATACTTACCACATACACGAATGCTGGACCCCTATTATATCATCCTAATCTTACCCTCAACGCCATCACTGACAGGACTCAAACCAGGTCAACCAGGATGATCCACACTACGTATCTCTGCGCGCGCGTGCCAACGATGAAGGAGACAAGATGGCACAGTGTTTCAAGAAAAGTAAGCGCGCGTACGCAACTAGGGACAGAGCCAGGGCCAAGGAGCTGTCCAACGAGGCTAAAGAACACAAGGCAAAGATGGAGCGGTTGAATAAGGAAGCCAGTGCATGGGTATATGCGAGTACGTCGTGATTCTTTTACCACCGACGATCCTAAGATGATCTGACACGTTTGTCGCTCTTCTTTGATGGTTAGAGAATAATGAGGTGAGTTTGATTGTATCATTCGGAGTGGGGTAGTTTTCTGATATGGTCCCTACTCGTGATTAGGACAGTAGTCCTGGAGAGATTGATCTGCACGGATTATACGTGAAGGAGGCCATCAATTACACCGACAGGGCCATTGAGGCTGCTAAACGTCGTGGCGATACCACAATTAACATCATAGTCGGTTCGTCTTTTTCTTTCTTTACTCAAGGAACTATTCTGCTAACGGCAGAGGGTTTTGCGCCCAGGCAAAGGTCTGCATTCCAACGGTGGGGTCGCCAGGTTGAAGCCCGCCATCGAGGCGTTGATGCGAAAGTATGAAGTCCCTTTTCACACCACACGCGTCGCCTGAGCTCAGATGCGTCACTTCCACTCCATAGGCATAATCTGGTCGCAGAATTGGATCCAAACAACGCAGGAGTGTTGATCGTACAGCTTGGCGGAAGAAAGTCTGGTCGTCGTGCCATCGGAGTAGACGAGGTCACTCGCAGGCTTGAGAAATCTGAGGGTTGCGTTATAATGTAAGATGTGTAAGTTTGCTTCTTGGAGCTCCCACTGCAGGGTGTTTCCACCGGTGGAATTTCTCTGCTGCTCAATGAGAAATGTATGTGTGTGTTACGATGTATATAAATTGTAACCCGTTTGATACAGCTAACAATGCTATTGTGTGTACAAAACCAAGGAAGGGTCAGGTGTCTTGTGCAGCAGCCAGTCGGTTCTCGTCCTCGATTGTTCGTTTGCTCCTAGTGCTAGTGGTTGGGTCCTTTGGTGGGGGGTACACTGCAAGAGCCTCTTCCAATTGCCTCCTCTTTCCGTTCGCCCGTGAATTCGCGGCAGCGGCGATAGCTAACCCTTCTCTTCGTGTCTCGAATGTTTGATATACAAATACCATCATCGTCTGTGGACGAGTTCAGTACATCATCCTAGGCGCGGAGACGTGTTTCGATGTCACTCACCGCGAACAGAGCCCCGACTATCAACCTCTCCCTCCACTTCTCGTCGTCCCCAACACGAAGCTCAGCTCTAGCCCTCAAATACCTTTTCCGCCTCGCTGACATTCTACTCTCGGTAGCGTCTGCGAAGGGGTTAGCCCCCAAGTGGGCTTTACCCTTGGCTTTACCTTTCCGAAGAGAGTCATAGGCTTTAGTCACCGCCTGGAACCTCGCTTGCGCAAGTTCCGGAGTCAAGTGCTCCTCTGGCAACGTCGCAGAAGACGACACTCCTTGTTCCGCCGAGGTTGGAGAATCCTGGGACAGAGAGGCAACCACCACGTCCGGATGGTATACCTTCACGAGCTCATAGTCTATTGGTTGACATTCAGTTCATACCACACCATACCTAGAGCAGAGAAACAGATGTACATCTGGCCTTGATCGCTTCAGAGGACGCATTCGTCGGAAGATGGAGTATTTGGAAAGGCGTTGGATTCGGATGGGTGGGGAAAGGGTACCGGGAATGAGCTTTCGAAGCGTGATGGTCCTTGGAAGCGTGAGATTTCGCCTTCGAAGTTTGCCATCGTCGAGGAAACGTCGCGTAGTACGAGCAGACCTGCACTCGTCGCGATGAAGATGTTGACCGTCTGGAAGAGAGCCTGAGCATGATTTGACCGAGATGATCGACGGAGGTCCGACGGCTGTGCTTGTTAGAGTAGGCAACAAGCCTTATACTGGCGGGAAAAGGCGGATCCCCGAGTCCCGCTTAGCTCAGTGGTAGAGCGCGTCACTAGTACCTGCAGATCAGGGATCGGCTCTTGCGAAATGACGAGGTCAGTCGTTCAAGTCGGCTAGTGGGAATCATTTTTTCTTTCCCTCACCCACCATCATACCCACTCGTCCAGCATGCTGTTTCCTCCCGGGTTATTATTCTCCAGAAAACTGTGACACATCGGCCACTATTTTCGATTCAACAGACAGTTTAAAAGGGTTGCTAAGCGCTCCTACCTCAGTACACTCACTCATGAACCGCCCTACATCAGACCACCTGTTTACCACCAAAAATTTGATCTCAACGTTCTTTCGCGAGTCCGAGTGCGAACTCTCGCGCCTCGCTCAAGGTTTATCGACGGATTCAGAAACATGTGGCGTTTCTAACGTGGCGGAGGTAATCCGATGTTTTTTTCTTCTCATTTGTTGAGGGCATTTTTATTGACACATCCCTAGACCGACTGGTTCATAAACCAGACCAGCGAACTGCTCTCGTCGCTTCGAACCCTCAGGAACTCGTTGGTCCCAGTAAACCGAATCCCGCCCGAAATCATCACATCGATAATCTCGTATCGAGTCGCACCCATCCCTGATATCGTGCAGTATCAGGTGTTGTCAACGCCCACGTCCGTATGCAGGTACTGGAGAAACGCGATATGCTCGTTTCCGTCGTTCTGGACGACCATGAGCGACGTATACCACCCCCAGCTGAGGAGAATCATCCTCGAGCGCTCAAAGGCTGCCCTGCTTCATGTCTTCCGCTTGCGACCTTCTGACGACTTTATGGAAGGTATCGGGGCGCATACAACTAGAATAAAAACCCTTCAATGCAAAGTTACGTTTGGTGGGGGCCTTGACGAGCCATTCGATCGTGAAGGGAACCCGAACCAAATGATCTCTGATTTCAAAACCTCTTCTGACGCTCTGGAGATGTTATGTCTGTCCCGGAACGGGATTTCGGACATATCAGAAACAGTCAGGTTCGGGATAGTTCCCAATAACCCGAAGGCGTTGAGGACCTTGCAACTCCGCTACATGCCGCTCACGATCCAATTCACCCAACTCACCACGCTCACCAACTTTTCCTACTTCAACCCTCACGTGCGTTCGGAGCTGTTACTTGATTTTCTCAAGGCGAACACGTTGTTGGAAGACGTCACCATACATTGCATGAACATCTCCGACTCCCCAAACCACGTCGTCGTTCCTTTGGACCACCTTCGTCAGTTATCGTTGAACATGGGACAAACGGTTCAAAACCTTCTACAATGCCTGCGACTTCCCTCCGCCTCACGGATCGATCTGTTCCTCAATCGCTTAGCGGACGGCAAGTTGTTATGGGAGCTGTTGCCTACGTCACTGCACGCCCTTCCCGGAATCGCGAACACCACGCTGCTACATTGCAAATTCACGACGGAGTTCCATTTGATCGTAATCGGGTCCAATCCAGCGGGCGGGATGATCACCGTGCGTGGACATCCCACGCAGCTCTTCGCGGGGAAACCGGTGAACCTTGGACCGTTAAACCTGGGAACGGTTCGAGAATTCGTCTTATCTTCCAGAACGAAACCCTTCGCCAGCACATGGAGTCGCTTACGACAAGCCGTCCAGGAGATGAGCGGTGTGGAAACGCTCGTCGTAGGTGGTCGCGTCACGTTACGCGATCTGCCCGAGGTCCTAATGAACGAGGAGTTGCTCCCAAATTTGTCTGCGATCACATTGATTACCCCATCTCTCGACGAGATCGCGTCATTTGTGTCCTCCGTCCTTGTTCGCAACGGTAACAGAACGCTCGACGCGAAGAGGATCGAGTTCTTGGAGATACTGTGTTCACGATACGAAGAGGATTTCCTTACGGAAGCGGTAAAGCGTCCGTTGGAAGGATACGTGGGTTTGGTAGAGGTGAGGGTTGTTCAAGACGCTGACGACGTCTGGGTCAAGTCAATAAAACGGACCATCGATCGCGATGGATTCTTCAGGTAGTATCTCGATATCCCAAGATTCGGGTAGAGAGGTAGAAAGAGTACCAACATCAAGCATATGCTTCACCTCACGAAGGCCAATATTTCCACCCTCCCCCCCCATTGCCGAGGAATGAAACACTCCGCTCCAAGGTCTAGACTTTCGGGTGTGATGAAGGAGACGGTGATCTGGGCAATAAGAATAATCCGATCACAGAAACGTCAAGTCGAACGAGACAGCAATGGCTGCACTTCGAAGTGGAGACGCGGAGAGCCTAAGTGGGGGGGATGCTAACTTTGAGTTCCTGCACCATGTGTAGCCGGTCATTACATGTTACAGCCCGCAAAGACGATAAGGCGGCTCGAACCACCCATAAAGTTCACGTCATCTTTATCGTTTGGTGACGAGGGCAGCGTGCACAGACTTCCAAAACTAGGGCTCTCGGGCCCTCCGGTAGCATAGTAAATAACTCCCCTGTCAGCACGCGCTTCGAGAATCCATCCACCGGTGACCGAGATGCCCCCCCGCTCAATGCATCCCACAGGCCCGAGGGTTTGAATCGCCTTTGAGGGGAGGGGTTACCACAGTTATCGAGAACATGCATGATGACAACGTCATTTCGTGTGTGAACAAGCGTGGTAACCGACGTCGGCGAGGTCATTACGGTGACGAAGAAAAAGCGATTCCCACTAGCCGACTTGAACGACTGACCTCGTCATTTCGCAAGTGCCGACTCCTGATCTGCAGGTACTAGTGACGCGCTCTACCACTGAGCTAAGCGGGACTCGACGATAGGAGTTATTGTCCAGCAATCAGATTCCTACTCCTTTAAACCCGCTTGTATAAGTTGAATCACAAAGACAGAATTTCTTCTAATTGTATGGGACATATAATTATAACACTTATTTACTTGGTCTACTCGATGGGCAGATGATGGTACATACACAGGGACATAAGGAGCGAGGTTGCGGCGGTTCGTACCGCGGGAAAATAACGAGGAACAGGATAGGCAACATGAGAGGAGAACCTGGAGAAAGGTAATAAGTAGAACGGAAACTGAGACGGAAGCATAAACACAATCGATGGGATAACGACACAGCGATGGGCAAAAAGTAAACGGACTTTGGAATAGCTGAAACAGGATGTTATGAGAGAGGGAGCAGTAAAGCGACGGCGTCGCATCGAGTCCAACGGGGGGATGAAAAGAGACAACAGATCAAAGCAGTCATTAAGATGCGATAGCTGATCGGATGGTACGAAGAACGGCAAGTGATCAGGTCCACCTGTGAAGTCGCTGGTTTTTGTATAGCAACAACAAGAATAGAAGCGATACGCAGCACTGGGGATCGAAGAGTCTGGGGGGGGAGGTAGTGGAGCGAGAATCACGAGGCACAACACGCACGCCCTGCGACATGGGTGCCAGAGCTCACTGAACGACAGTCAGCCCTGCTCCTCTGACTCCATTCCCAGCGTAGAGTGCTCCGCGATTGTTCGAGCTCCTCTCCTTCCTCCTTAGATGCGTAGGGGCGGGGAAAGGTTCGGGTAAGCCTTGTTTCGATCCGCTCGAGTAGAAGATCTTGGGCCTGTAAGACTCCTGCTCGTCCATAATACACGAATTCTTGAACTTCTCGATCAGTGCCTCCTTGCCTTGGTAGTTGGCATAACACATCTGGAGGACTTTCTCGCTCGAATACATGTTCCTGAAGGACCCGACCAGTTGGTGAAAAAGAAAAGGAGGGAAGCTACGGGTGACTTACCACTTGACGCCTAATCTTGCCTTGGTGAAGTGCAGCAAGTCCTCCACCGAAATGAAATTGACGAAAGCGTATCCGACATTACAACCTTCATGACCAATCCTTAGTTGCTACCCTGAACGGAGGTGCAAGGGAGTCGAGGCTCACCGTTCTGGAAATCCATTCGCAAATACATAAAGTCAATTCGCCGAGGGCACACCTTGGCAATGAAGGACATCAAGTCCTTGTCGCTCATCTTGTTCGGAATGTTCTTGATCATCACTGTGGTCCTCGTGTCCAGTCCCTGTTCGATCTTGTTCAAATCGAGTTGATTCTTCTCAGAGATAGGGGGTGGCGGAACGCCAGGAGCCCGAACATGGAGGGTTGAGGTGGAATGATGGGACGTCTGATTTTTGTGGCGGGGGGCGACTGAAGTCGTCTTGGTTGGGGTATTTTGATTGCTGACAGTTGGAGTGGAAGACACAGGAGAAACGGGACCGAGCAAAACGGGCGAGCGGGGGTGGTCGGAGTGGGGTGGCATGCGCTTCGAGTAATCGACGGCCAAGGAATGCATTACAGGCGGCGACGTCGGGTATGAAAGGTAATGGTAGTCCCAATTGTGCATCGAAGCAGGGGAGAAATGGCTCTCGACCGGCGAGTACATGTAAGGGTATGCAGAGTATTGGTAATGCACTGACATCGATTCGTCGTATTGGGGGAACGCATATGCTGTTGGAGATTGCAGCGGGTAGACGAGTCGAGATGGGTTGGGGGGATAATAGTGCTCGACTGGTGGGAAAAAGTGATTCGGGGTGGGAGGGGGTTGGGCGGTATGGAGGTGTTGCTCCTCGGGCTCAGGATTGGCTGTAGAATCGGCAGTTTCGAGCGCATAAACCTCGACTGAGGAAGCAGGGGGAATGATAATCGATAGATCCCTGGGTTTTGCGCTCTCTCCCACGCTGACGCTGCGAGGACGGACTCTGCCGGGTTTCGGAGAAGGGCTCTCTGGGGTGACGTCCTCAGCGAGCTCTTTAGGGGTGACAAGTTCGGCACGGAGACGAGCTCCGGCGATGCGTATGTCGTGCGCGTTGTTGACGAAGGCCTGGGCACACCGGGAATCCGAATACTCTGCAACATAGCACTGAGACGACAATCAATCAACCGATCAGGCACAAGGGATAAATGACGAGGGAAAACGCACTCCGCTGGAAGGATAGAATGATTGAAGGTGACCAAAGGACGTGAGAAGATCGCGCAATTGGTTGTCGTTCAATGCTCCATCTTCAATAGAAACCGATACTAGGGCCTCGCATTCATCCAAGAAGGCGTTTGGACCGGGTATTACCTGAAAGCATGGAAGCAACACGGCACGTGAGTTGCACGTTTGAGGGCGGAGGAATTGCGGCAGACCGGCTAACACAGACCTTTCTTAATAGTACCGGCGATAACAAACGAGCGGAAAGAGTGGCGCCCTGGATAGAGATCTGCGGGATATAAGCTTTGGTGCGAGCAGCATCCCTTGAATCGTAAAAGGCGACGACGACACAACCGTGGATCGGTTGGAAGCGAACGAGGATGCCCTTTATCGAACCGCACTGGTTCAATGACTGTTTGAGAATATCGGAGGTTGCTGATTTCGGGACGTTCTCTACGAGGACCAGACGCGAGGTGGTTGGCTCCGGGGAAGAGTGAAAGTCGAGAGTGTGGTAAGGATCAGATGGGGTTGAAGGCGTGTGAGAGGATGAGAAGGAAGAAGATGGAGTGAGGGGTGGGGTGATTAGAGATGGGTCGTGGGATGCACGCGGGGAGGGAGACTTTGGAGGGTCCTGGTCGGAAGCGAGATCGAGGGGACGGAGGTGAGGACGGAAACGGGAAACGGGGTTGAGGTCAGGGAGAGACATGACTGCTGTCCAAAGGCGAACCCGACTACTCTCTTATATATATACACCACTCTCAAAATTCTCCCTGTCATGTCCATTCCAGATGCCAACCCAAATTCAGTCAAAGTGGTAGCGTGTGTCAATCTCCAATTTTCTCTCGTCACCGCCCCTCCCGCCTTCGCGCGTTTCACATCCCGATGCTTCCTCGATATAGCCTCAGTCCGCCAAAGAGCAACGAAACATCTGTGAGACCCACAGAAGTTCAAAAAGGCTCGAGCAGGAGAAAGAGAGAGAGAGAGAGGACCGGGCCAGTGGGGAAGGGGACGGGAAGAACTGACGATCGAAGAGGAACTGGCTCTTCCCTGTTCGCAGCATCAAAATCGAGATCAAATTCAGGAAACCGAGACCACGTTTTCTCTCACTTTGTCTATCGTTGTGTAACGAAACCTTGGATGAAGACGGACAGAGAGAGAGGGGTCGATTTCCTAAACCAGGATGGTCCATCGCCTTTTCTCCATACCATCTGTCCATTTCAGGCCCACTTCTCCCAGCTCGCTTGAATTGATTCTGTATCTAGAATTCGGGGTCTCTCCCGCCGCGGATTCTCGCGCATACCGGGCAGGTTCTCTACCTTCTTCTCGCTCATTCCAAGCGGAGATCTCTCTCTCTCTCTCGTCCTTCCCTCTCGGTAATCAGTGCTTCAGAACCTCAGCCTCCCAAGGCTACTCCGGGTTCGTGATCTCGCCGGTTCTTGCGCGCATCTAGCGCGGGGTGGCGTTTGACCGTGAAGATGATAACCGGCTCGTTATGTCTTCCCACTGACCGGCCGTTACGCGTTAAAAAAAACCCCGTGGCCTCTCTGGCTCTGGTGCTAATGACCTGGTACCGCCTTGAGCGCAAAGCCTCCACAGCAAAACGCTCCGGTTTAATCTCCGTATCTTGGATAAAACAGCCTGACATACTCTGAATCACCGCATTTTTGTCGATCGCTTCGAAGTCGGTCATGAGCAGAGGCGTTGTAATGCCACGAAATGAAGTTTCCTCACCCACTCATCCACTCATCCTTATCTCCTCTTAATCTGCGCCCACTCAATCTGCCCCCTCACCCTACGGTCGCGCTAGAAGCAGCGTCAATCGAGCGAATAATTAACCGGGGAAGACGACTCATCCCCAGCTAGTCGGGTAAGTCGATAAAAACTTGGCCGGTGGGTCCCCAGCCGACGACCAGCTGGATTCCACTCCTTAAGGACGACTTGCGCTGTACGCGAAGAGACTTCGGGAAAACGTTCGGATCCGGGGACGGTCCCGATCGGCCTTCCTCTCGATTCTTCGATGGAGACTCGGATGTAAAGGTCATCTTGTTTTCGGCTCTCTTTCTTCTCCAAAATCCTTTAACGCCGGATTCTCATGTACATAACTCACAATACGTTGAATCCCGTAGATTAAACGTATCACTTTTCCTGGAAAAAGGCGAATTATTTCCCCATCCATTGAGTGTACGTCGAAGCGTTGCGTACTGTAATCAGACCAGAGCCCATTGTTATGTCTTCTCCAAAAGTCCTCAAATGTGCTTTCGACACACCATCTTGGAGCAACATAAACGCTGGGATCAGCCCATCACACTTTTCGTACGTCAAATCAGGCAGGGAAGGTTTGGAGCATTACGCCTTGTGACGTCTATTCAACGCAACTAGGAAACGTGAGTGGGGGTGTAGGCGAGGAGTAACTAAGTAGTGCAAGTGTGCGTGTAACAGGAGTGTGTGAATCGTAGTCGAAGGAGCATAATAATAGGTCAGTAAGATAATTTTCTTCTCTTCCTCATCCTCACCATCTAGCAAAGGAAACCGAATAACCAAGGTCGGAGCTGATTGGAAAGGGGCGAGGTGCAAGTAAAGATGGCACGGTGCAAAGCAGTCGAAAGCGAAGACGAGACTAGAAACAGAAGCAAGAGGCAATCGTTTAATCTTTCTTCTCCTCCTTGGGAGCCTCTGTTGACGACTCCGAAGAAGCAGCCTCAGCACTACGCTTCTCGTACACCTTCTGGAACAAGCCGAGCGACGCCTGTTGCGTCTCATTGATCTTCTCCCGAATCGCATCCGCAGTGAGCGATTCGTCCCCACCCAGGGCTCGAGCGGCAACCTCTCTCAGTTCAGTGATGTGCTTCGTCACCT